AATATAAATCATATTTTAATAATTATTAAATTATAAAAATGTAATAAATAATATTATAATTTTTAATTAAATTAAATATTTATTTAATTTTAAATAAGATACAAAACTGTTAAGATATCCCATAAACAAGTTTTTTAACATTTTTGATTTTATTTAAAATTTAATAACTATTTTATTTATTTTAATATTTTAATATATTTGAATATATTAAATCAAATTTTATATTATTTTTATTATTATTTTACTATTTTAGTATTATTTTAATTATTTTTATTTTATTTTCATTTTTTAATATAACTATTTTTATACTATAAATCATATTTTAATAATTATTAAAATATAAAATTATATTAAATAATATTTATATTTTAAATTAAATTAGATTATTATAAAGGTGGTACATAATGTCTTTAATATGAAAAAAATAATATTTATTAAAATGTCTTTAAAGATAAAAAAATAAAAAATATTTATTAAAATTTTTTTAATAAGAAAGAGATTAAAATAAAATAAAATTTATTAAAGTTAAAAATGAAATGTTTGAAAAAGTTGAAGGTCGACAAAATGTTAAAAGGCTAAAATTGAAATGGTTGAAGATGCAGGATGAAATATCGGAGATGTTGGATGAAACACCTATGACTTTACCCAAAGTATTTTTTCTTTACTAGAATAATCAAGTTGTTAAAGAATTATTATAGCTAGTGGGCCAAGAGGCTCACAATGCAGATATGACCTTGTCATTTGTGAAGGGGTGTTGCTCCCTACACCATCCCACTTTGCTCCCTGTACCACCACATTTTTCTAAAATTCCAAAACTATCCTTTATATTTTAAAATATCCTACACCCCCACCTCTTTTCTTCAACGGATGTCAACATCCGTTGAAGAAAAAATTCTTCAACGGATGTGCCACATCCGTTGAGTTTTTATTTTTTAATTTTTTTTTAATTTATTGTATTTTAAATTAATATATAAATATTATTTAATTTTTTTAAAATTATTACTTAATTATTTATAAATTAATTTTATTTTATTTAATAAAATAATTATTATTAATTTTAATTTATGTATTATTATTTAAATAATAATTAAAAAATTTGTTATAAATATATTAAAACGGATGTGGCGACATCCGTTGCATTTTTTTTAAAATTTTTTTATTTTAAATTAATGTATAAATATTATTTAATTATTTTAAAATTATTACTTAATTATTTATAAATTTATTTTATTTTATTTAATAAAATAATTATTATTAAATTTAATTTATGTATTATTATTTAAATAATAATTAAAAAATTTGTTATAAATATATTAAAACGGATGTGGCGACATCCATTAACGGATGTGGCCACATCCGTTGCCTTTTTTTGTTTTTTTGTTTTTAATTTTTTATATTTTAAATTAATATATAAATGTTATTTAATTTTTTAAAAATTATTATTTAATTATTTATAAATTAATTTTATTTTATTTAATAAAATAATTATTATTAATTTAATGTATATATTATTATTTAAATAATAAATAAAATACTTTTTAAAAATTTATTAAACGGATGTGGCACATCCGTTGAAGGTGAAACGGATGTTGACATCCGTTTTATAGAAGGGCAAATTAGGTATGGAGAGGTGCAGGGAGTGGTTGGTGGTGGTGGAGGGAGCAACTCCCTTTGTGAAGAGTGGGTAGCATTGTGACACCCCTGGCCTAGTTGATGGGCTTTTTATATAAATGGGTACAGAGAGCCCATATATCACCCTCTATTCATTACTTAATGAGTCATGTGAAGTCCAAATTCTGCAGTGCTGGCCAACTAATTAAGTACCCAATAACTTAGTTGACCAGAACTCCCAAAAGAGTAAACATAAAACAAAAAAATAATTGTATGACACTTTCATAGTATTTCTCTCACAAATTCTTCACATAATAATAATTGTGCAGCAGAAAAAATAATTTTCCTATTTTTATATAAATTTTTAAAACAAAAATTACTCCTGATTAATTCTGTGAGGTATTTTTTAATATCATATAAAAATGGAAAATTTACATTTTTATAAAATAATGCGAAAAGAGTAACATAAAAAATTAGGATTTTAAAAAGTTTACTTGTTTTCTCAATTCATCAAGGAAAAGACAGTATGCTAAGTAAGTAAACTAGCAATAAAAATAGCAAAAATACTAGACAACCTTTTTAGGGGCTTTAAAGCAAATATTTAAAGTCTTATATCTAGATTGATCCTTGAATGTTACTGAGACACGTGTTGTTGTTATGTAGGCATATCCAAAAAGAACATAAAAGAATGCGAAAGAAAAAAACGTGAAAGATAAAAAAGAAAACATAACGTTGTCTTGCAAAAGTTTTTCTAATAAAATTATTTTTTAGCTAAAATTAATTTTGTGTATAAATTATATGATAAATATTCTCCTATATAGTTTATCTAATTTTTAATCTACGCATAAAATGATTTTAGCTTATAAAAATATATTTAACTTTTTATCTTTTAGAAATATTTCTTATGATGTATTTACTTCGCACGATTTACTACTTAAACGGATGGATCTGCACGAATTTACTCTGTTCACTTCTAAAGATTTGAGATTAATTCAAAGCAGTGATTTGGGGATGCTCATCTCGGTGATTAAAGAATATTTGCTGAAGAAGAATTTGTTTTTCAATATTGTCCTCTCATTTTCAATGCAACTAAGAAATTAAGAAATAATAATTATTATTATAATAATAATAATAATAATAGTATAATAATAATAATAATAATAATAATAATAATAATAATAATATAATAATAATAATAATAGTAATAGTAATAATGAAATTTTAAAAATTAATTTTTATTTTTCTCTCTCTTTATAATAATTTTTAAAATTATATATAATATTAATAATTATTATTTTATATTACTTTTACTACTTTGGTAATCTTTAACTTTTATCAATTAAACTATTTTTTTTATCTGTCACATCGAATTCAACCTTAATTCTTACCAACTTTATTTCGAAATTCATTCTCTCACGTCGAAATTCACTCAAATAAACGAAAAAAAATTGACCTTCAAATCTTGTCAAATTCATCCATTCATTTTTTTTTCAAATTATCTTTCCAAAGTGAACACGTCCTTAATGAAATTGTTATAAGATCTTTTTGGATGGGAATTTAGTAAAACAGTTCCAAACGAAAAAAAAAATTTCAAGTAAATCAACAAGGGTAAAAATGAAAAAAAAAGCTTTTGAGCTAATTAATTGTGGTAGTTTGCTAAAATAAGTTAAGAAAACCTTAAAAAACTCACAAACATGTTTTGATAGCTAAACTAACTTATAAATTTGTCAATTATATTTTAAGTCACTACTGTAAACTTTTCCCATACACTTTTTTATAACTTAATAGTATTTCGCCGCGGACAAAGTAAATATATATTGTTTTCTATGCCGACTTCACTTATTAACTAAGCCAACAACGTACTCGAATCTAAAAGTAGTCACAATTTCAAATTACTTAAATATTTACAATTATCATCATTAAAACATTTAAGTCCTAATTTATTTGTAACCACCATTGATTTAACATTTTGTTTTTATTTTTAGCATAAATATAGTAGTAGAAGTGGTCTTTAATGAATTAAATCACAGATATGTGATTTTTAATAAAAAACAGTAAGAAGCGTGTTGTTACATTTAAGTAAAGAATTAAGAACCATTAGGATTTAATAACAGAATAAAAAGAAGTTACCTAGATTTACAACCACTATATTAATTGTATTAATGAAAATCATATAAAACTTCAATTACGTGGGTCCCACAAAACCACTTGTACAAATTATTCAATAACAAAGAGTGTAAAGATACAGTTTTTAACAGAAAAAAGAGTGCAAGTCTATTATTTTGACAGTTTGCATTTGCATGATGAACATAGAGAGAGTTTATGAGTGTAGGTATGGTAATTACCCGATATGCAAAGTTAGAATTCTGTATGAAGTAATGAATTTGGTGATGCAAAGGTAGAAATGTGGTAAGTAGGTAGTAAATAAGAGTAGTAATAAATAAGAGTTGGCACAGGTTCATTCGGTTGCACAGTATAATCCATTTATCGGAAATAACAACAATAAATTCATGTAAAAGTAGGTAGGATCATCCTAGCTACCAAAAATTGTTCGTCATGAGATGGTTTGCTTACATCACTCTTTGAATCTCCTCTCCTGTGTCTGGCCACCACAAAACCAAGAAAGGACACTGCCATGAGACTAAAACAACAGTGTTTCACTTTCCCTGTCCCTCTCTTTTCATTTGCCTTGTGCGCTTAGTTGTTACATTCTGACGGAAAAGCTTGCAACCCCATTTCTTTATTTACTCTCCTTTCTCCTCACATTAGCCTTCTCGTATTAAAATAGCTAAAAAGCAAAGGGCTTTCTCTGAAAATGTTTCTGAGGTTACCTGCCATGAACAGGAGTTTGAACAGAGAGAATCCATATATTTTGATTATGATGATTGCAGTGAAACAGATAATAAGGGGTGTTGAGGAGGACAAAAGAGATCAGAGAGAGAGCCAAGACATGGGCCCAGTAAAGCCTGCAACACAAATGAGTGCCACTGCACCAAACACTGATGTCTTCACCCTTCTCCTCCATCTCCCCCTCTTTTCTGCCTCTTTACCTTTCCCTCTTAATTTATGGCTTTTTTTTATTTCCATTCGTCTCCAACATCCCCACTTCCTTTTTCATTCTCTTTTCGACTTTGACTCACCTTTCCATGCTCTTCTTCTTCAACTTCTTGTCTTTAATGTGCAAGACTAGAGGAAAGCTTGATGGGGTCTAAGGAAACGACACTCTTGTTTTGGGCTTTGGACGCTTGAAGAAAAAGATTTTCCTGTTCATGCAAAAGAAACCAACACAACTTTCGTGTTGGTATTGTTTTTTTTTTTTTTTGGCATGGTGTAAGCAACTTTGGAATGCCTTGGTTTCTATTTCTTGCTTTTGAACAAATATATAGCCTTCTTTTTCATTTCCCTTTCACATTCTTGTAGGTTCTCCAAAGACAACATATATTGGCAAGGAGTTGTTAAGTGTTACTCCTTTGCAGATTAAGTGAAGGTCGGTTTTGCTAGCTCGCATCATTTTGGTTTGATACTTGACGTCTTTTGTCTGTCAGTTGATATTTTTATAACTAATCTAAAAGCATTTTTTGATTATCTTTTATTTATCCATTTCAATTTTGTTTTCTAGTTTATCAAAGTAAACCTACTCTGGAAGACAACTTCTAAATCAATAGCCTCATTTATTAATTACTTGTTATTTGATGGAGAGAGATATGTATATCGCTCCACTGGAGATTTCTGGTCGAGGTGCTACAGTAATAGATGAAATATCCCAGCATCCCACCTCAAATCCTCTCATTCAGTGCTATTCACTTGACCTTAACAACCAATCCCATATCATAAATGGAATTTCAATGCTTTCTGGAGAGCAAGGTGAACCTACAAGTAATGTCCATGCTGATGCTTGCTTCATTAGTCCATCAACTATTGCTGACTCCACTCCATTAGTTACATCACGGAGAAAGACTATTGTGGGAGATGCCTCAAATCCCATGGCGAACTCTGAGTTTCAAGAGCATTTAGTTGGAGGAGTGCCCCTCACTCCTGCTTCGCTTGCTGCCATTCTTGCTGATAGAATTGGTCTTGAAGAAAATTTGGAGAATTCAGCCGCCGCCCTAGCTCCCTCAATCTTTTCCACGGGGGCACTAGAGGTATTCTTCAACAATTTGCATGGTACTTCAAACCCTTGGTTTGGAACTTTTGAGGAGTGTGCTTACAATGAAATTCCTAGTAAGTGGAATGCTAACAAATTTCCTAAAGCTCCAGAGAATGATGGAACTTGTCAGCCCTATTCTTCTGTGGCAAACCTGGATCCAAATGTATGGGCTACATCAAACGTTGCAAACATGGCCAACTATGCTCACTATTCCTCTAATTTTAGTAAAGAACTTTCTCTGAGTCTTGCAACATCTACAGCCGCAGGACAGTGCTCAGACGTGACTTGCTCTAATATGACCCCGTGCATGAATGGAACCATTTCCTGCAGCAGTAGTAGGGAAATTTCTATGAATTTGGGTGGTAATAAACATGCACAAATTTCACCAGAAGTACTGGAATCGAGATACCTTCTTGGGATTCAAGAGATACTTGCTCAAATTGCAAGATATTCATTTCAAAATCTGGAACAGTTAAACTATTCAGCCCCTGGTAATAGAGCAGGTGGACACAAGTCAACTTCAGCGTTTCCACCCAAGAGAAACATCTTGACAGATCACAATGCAAGTTCTGTTTACGAATCTCATGCAGAGTCTCCTTTGCAAAGGCAGGCTGCTGAATCTAAGAAAGCTCAACTGCTGGCACTTCTACAACTGGTATGACACTGCATAAATTAATTCTTTTGATGTTCATATTAATTATGGTCATGGACAGAATCATGTTAGTAATACATTGCACTTGTCCACGTTCAGATTCATGGATGGTATATAAATTGCTAAAGTTGGTTCATAATAATGGTCTAAAAAACGGATAAGTAGAGGTGTTTAAGAGTAGAACGTGTAAGTTTTCATCATGAAATATTGTCATACAACTAACTAGTAATCTCTTTCTTAATCAGGTGGACAGTCGATACAGCCAGTGTTTGGATGAGATACATACTGTTGTATCTGCATTCCATGCAGCTACCGAGCTGGACCCACAGATACATGCACATTTTGCTCTTCAAACCATCTCTGTCCTTTACAAGGACTTACGGGAGAGGATTAGCAACTACATTCTTGCCATGGGATCAAGTTTCAAAAAATCGTGCACGGAAGACAGTGAATGGTCTATTGAAACTTCATTCCTTCAAAAGCAATGGGCTCTCCAGCAGTTGAAAAGAAAAGATCAGCTGTGGAGGCCCCAGAGAGGCTTGCCGGAAAGATCTGTCTCGGTTCTACGGGCATGGATGTTTCAGAATTTCCTACACCCGTGAGTTTCAAATATGCAATATGCCTTCTTGGACTGGCTCTATACTTCAATCATCAGAGTTTTATCCATGAAACGAATTTAAAGAATATATGTAAAGAAAGTATTTATTTATCATTTGATGGATTTCAGGTATCCGAAAGATGCAGAGAAGCATTTACTGGCAGTGAAAAGTGGGTTGACTAGAAGTCAGGTATTTATCTACTTGTTTGTTTGTTACTTTGTTCAAAGATGAACGATCTGATATGCTTGCTTGGTTGTGTCTTGAAACTCAGGTATCCAACTGGTTTATAAATGCTCGTGTGCGGCTGTGGAAACCTATGATTGAAGAGATGTATGCTGAAATGAACAAAAGAAAGGCCTGTCGAAATGAAGAAGAAATCCAGAATAACCATGGGAACAGGATAAGCATGAGTAATCAAAGGTTTAATGTTAACTAAAGGTGTAACAAAGTCGCATAACGATATAAAGCACCTTTTTCTTTATTCAAACAGAAAACAGAACTGAGGCCAAAATCTGAGCTTATTGTTTTGCATGGTAGGTAGGGTATATTATTTATGAGGATGTCCTGTCCATGAAGAAAATAGAATGTTAGAAAATTTCACGACATTTATTTTGTCCATCCGTTCTAGAACTCGACTTATTTTGGCTTGATTTTTTATTCCATGGCGATGCACCAGTAAATGGGTGAAGCCGTAAAAGCGGTTTAGGTTCTTAAGAAGGTAAAGTCCAACATTGAAAGAGGCTCATGTTAAGGCAAAGTACCAGGTTGACGCCATTAGTCATGCCATGGAGGTTTGGGCATCCCTGCAAGAACTATCAAGTTCGTCATTGTAGAAAAAACTATTACACATACTATCTATGATTTTACAAATTAATTTCTTAACTCCTTTAACAGGAAAACAAAATCCCATGTTGCTTTCATTATTTCACTTCAGCCTTTCAGGGTCAGGAATCTCTTGACGATAAATAAACTATAAGTATCAGCAGGTAAAAAGATACCGACATGAAAAGGAATTGAGTGTAAGATTAAATGGTGTGCCCACCGTTTTAGCTTTACAGTTGTAACAAAAACTCATTTTTTTATTTATTTGTCCAAAAATAACACTTTTGAAGCTTTAGCAACTATGTAGACTCGCTAACTTACGTCTATGACTACACAAATAAAAGAATGACTATAGCTGCTTTCAAGTAAACTCTTCCCCCTTTTTCTTTCCTCTGTCGATCCTCTGTTCGTCTCCATCTATCTACAATGACATGACCCCCTTCACCAGAATTTTGACAAAACAAAGAACTATAAACTTGTGCAACAATCAAAATACAAAATAGGTGCTAATCTTTATTCATCTACGACTACTACCGTACTACATCTCCACTGAAATTCGTGTCTTTATTGGTTTCAATTTCAAACCCATGCTCTCCGGGGAGTAAAGCTCAGGAGAAATGCAAGAGGGACTCAGGGGACTTCTTGGGCTGACACTCAACTTAGATGGTCTGTACAAGCCATATCCCATGAGAAAGTACTCCAACGGTGTTAACATGGCCTGAGGTTGCTCCTCTGTTACCATTGACCCACACGCTTGAACCTGCACTTCCACCCACAATAGCTATTAAATGTAGTTCCTTGTTTATTAATAAACACATTCTTCTCACAAATTAAAATGAATATGAATTGTCTTACGCACTTCAACTAAGGCACTGAATCGTCTATCCAACTTAGATGTCATGTGGAGAGCCTCGGAGTGAAAAGGAGACATATCCCCGACAAAAATTAGTGAACGACAATGTAATTTTCTCAATCCTTCACTGATGTCATTTCTCCTGAAAAATGCCAATACAAAGTTATGGCTATATTGCTGTTTCATAATATGTGGAACTAGAGCGTCACCAAATGCATTTATGCATGAAAACTGGTAAATTAACAACGAGTGCACGTGTAATTAAATTCTGAATCTCCGACTGACTTCTAGCAGTAATTGATACCATGCTGAGAGCTACTCCACTCCTACCCCCACCACCACCCAACTCATACATATGTATATTAAAATAGATAGTCACTTTCGAGTTGGATGAAAACCACTATTTTGAAGTGTTATCTTACCCATTAATCGCTTCAAGGAACCGCCACACATTCAAACTCTGCCTCTCATCCAATGACTGTCAAGAAATATTTAAGAGAGTCAGGCAAGGCCTCAGTTTCAAATGCCAACAAACCCAGTCCATACATGGAAGCGTTAGTAAGATAAATTGGGCTAACCCTTTGGCATGCTTGAACAATATCAGACACTGGCAAATAGTCACTGCCTCGAACTTCCTATCATCACCAATAAAGTTAATGACTCAACCTCGCACACTGAAGGAAGGGGAAATTTTCTTTTCAGGAATAGGCATACCTTGCTAAAGTATCGGTTTAGCAATATTTCTTTAACCACCCCACACATGCCGTAAAAGTAGAGTAAATTTGACATGACCTGCAATTATTAGTTTTTAGCAAAAGGTGGTATCTCATAAAGAGACAAAGGCTCTCAGGTTTAGAAAAAGAACCTTATTGTACAGCCATTCAGTCCAAGATGGTGCTTTACATAATGGGGAAACAAGTATCAAACCAAGAACACGATGTCTATATTTCACCTGTTGTTAAAATAAGAAATATCTGTGAAATCTCATTCAGCCATTTAAGAATGGTAAAAAGAAAGAGAGACAGTGTATATATACAAAGACTCACAGCAAATAAGGCAAGAATGTAAGCCCCAGCAGTTACTCCCATACACATCACTGCACTCTGACTGCAAAGGAGAGAAGAGAAATACATTAGATTGCCTTCTCAAGATCAAGGAGACGCGATCAGTTGCACAAGTTATAAACCCGTCACTTTTAATGCAAATCGGAAGGATATTTCAGTTGCAAATATAGTAAATTAAAAGAAAAACAAACAAATATTTCAAATTGAAGCCAAATTGAAATTAATCTAACATTTGTCTTCATGCTAAGGGGCCTGGAGCTGGAAAGGATGGATTAGGGAATAAGACTCTTGTTTAGGAGTTAAAGGTTTTCAGAGAGTAAGAGATTAAGAAGGAAACAGCATAGTTTCTATACTGAATGATTTACATTCACTATACCAACCCATAACTTGGTTACTTGGAAATAAAGGTTTTACTGAAATTTTAAATTTTCAACAATAGGGAACGAATCTGTTTTTATTTCATATTTCATTCCATACCCTATCTTTCCATTTGATTCCACTCCACTACCTCTAAAATTTTATACAATGAACTAAATGGAAAGAAATTGATAGGGAGCTGAAACATACCCAAAATAATTAAGAACTTCTGCTATTTGATCAGCTAAGTCGTCGGCAGAAAGAATTGGACCGTCTGTATCAATGGCAGCAGCTCCCAACTGCAATAATTAACGAAAAAGTATAAAATGATAAGAAGCGAGATACACCCAAAATTAAAAATATATAAAATTAGTGGGTATAAGTAGCAAGAAACAGCCTATTACAGTTTCAAGAAATAAAGTTAGAGACCTCATGTCCAGGTGGACTAATATGATAGATGCAGAAATTGTGAAGCAGTAGCGAACAGGCTTCTGGACAAAATAACAACCCTTGAAAGCAGGAGACATCTGATGAAACCACATGCAAGAAAATGGTTAGATTATTTGTCAAGTAGACAAACAGTAGTTTGGACGAACTTCTTCATAAATATTTTTAAGAGAAAAAAATAAGAAAAATTATAAAAAAAAATTGTATTAATTAAAATTAGTTTAAGTCATTCCTTAATTTGTAAAAACTCTTTTATGTAGCTTCTATAATTTTTTATTTTATTTTTAACTGGTGTATAAGCTAATTTTAGCCTATAAAGAAGTTTTTTTTTCTTATTTTTCTTTTTTAGAAGTGTTTATAAAAATACTAGAGGCTCAATGTTAGCAAAGACATAAAACATCACTTTATATTACGACATTTTATGTATAAAACTTTATTTTTTTTTATTTTTTTTATAACCATTATATTGGTAAATCACAGGGTCCCTTGCTTACTGAACACAAACCACTGTAATTTATGGGATTGTAGTAGCACCATAATTTAATTACACAAAACTACCATTATTCCAATACCACATCATTGAATCTCTGCTTAGATGTAAAGAGACATATCTGATTAAAACAAATATATGAATGAGAATAATTTTTGATTAAATACATTTTTTTAAAATATATACATAACCACACCAATTAATAAATAAAAAGATTTTGTAAATCACGTGGTAATTCATTAAAAAATAATAAAGAATGCACTTGAATGCATATTAATGAATAAAAAATTAATTTCTTAGTCAATGCCTTACATAGTAAGAGGAAATAAGTTATTATAAGAATACAGTCATTACCTTTTATTTTCTTTTATTTCTAATAAGTTATTTGAAATAATAATTAAATTAAGAAAAGAAAAAGGGGTTCATAACTTAATCCCTTTCATATACACACATACACACAAAAAAAATTACACTAAAAAGTAATATTAAATAAAGCATTTATTTTATTAAAAACACAATACCATGTAATAGATGTTTTTCTTTGGATAAATATAACCATGCAATAAAGTATATTGTAACGGCCTAAAACGAGTACTCATTAGCTAGAATCATCTTATGGAAAAAGTTTCATGATACCTACAATTTAAAGCCAAATCAGGATACGTGATTAGCGCTGGTTTGTCCTGGTCCCCATACACAGCAACAGATACGCAACCATAGCGAGTTCTTACAACATGTTCCTGCAAAAAGACTAGCTTATTAATCTGGAACAGCGCATAAAAATACTCACAAGAAACCACATAAGAATATGATAAAACACCTCCTTCATGTTTTAACAGCAAAAAGAAGAGTCAACAAAATATAACTACGTCATCTAATGTAAGATTCCAGCATAGGCAAGAGAAGTGTGTAAATCCTCTGGTTTTTCAGGGGTGCCCATTCACTTTGAAAAAGAAAGAAGGAAAACAAAACCAACAATCTTTGAAGGCTGACACTGCAAGTTAAGAAAAATAAAAACAAAAACATATCAATCTGCACCTGCCAGAATCCCATCGGTGACAGCTATTTAAGACAATAATAAAAATTAAAATCAAATCCAATTTATTTAATTCATGGAAATCATACAACAAAAAAAAGAAGAAAAAAAATCTTCATTCACTGGAAAGCTTTAAAAATTCCATTATGTCTTAATAGAATTCAGTGAGCTTCTGAAGCAATTCAACAACATTATGAAAGGAAAAGGAAGGACGTGGTTTTTAATTAATCAAACAAGGAAGAAATAGAATGAATTAAAAAAAAAACGATAATGAAAACCAGAATTGAGTTAAAGTGAGTGCAATGAAATGAAATGGTTGTTTGCGAGTGTTAGCCTTAGTTACCTCGGGTGTAGGAGAAATGGCTTCCATGTCCACCGACACCGTGTCCGCCATTTCACTCTCAATAGCGTCGTGAATGTGTAACCACTCACACTCCATTCCTTTCTTTCTCCTTATTCTTGTTTTTATAGGTAGTTCTCAGCATTAGCATGCGTCAATTTCTCTCTTTCTCTCTCTTCATTCTCTCTGCTGGT